ACCACGGCCCGGCCAAATCCTGTGATCCAAGGCTGAAAGTATCTCTGGACTCCAGCGAAGCTCTCGGGGAGATAGGGAAGCTTAATCACAGCTGACTGGGACATGTGAATCATGCACTGGAGCTTTCCAGCCAAAGGCCTCAGGGACCGACCTGGCTGGGGCTCTCCCCAAATTATCACAAATAATTTGGAACAATTAAGAAATGGGGGTCCATTCATTCAACAACAGCTGGAAACTCCTGTCGGTGATTGGGAAGGAGAGGCTGCAACCCAAATGACCTTTCTATGGCCATGCAAAACAGGTAATTGTTGAATGAATGAATAAATGATTTTTTAAAAAAATATTTATTTACTTATTTATTTGGTTGCACCAGGTCTTGGTTGAGGCAGGCAGGGTCCTTAGTTGTGGCATGTGAACTCTTAGTTGCGGCATGCATGTGGGATCTAGTTCCCCGAACAGGGAGCGAACCCAGGCCCCCTGCGTTGGGAGCACAGAGTCTTAACCACTGCACCACCAGGGAAGTCCCCAATGATTTTTAAAAAGTAGTGACTGGATAAAGGAAGAGGGGGAAAGAGGAAAGAAGGAAGGAAAAGAAAGGAAGGAAGAGAGGGAGGGAGGGAGGGAAGGAGGGAGGGAGGGAGGAAGGAAGGGAGGAAGGAAGGAAGGAAGGAAGGAAGGAAGGTTAATCCAGCCTTGGCTTGCACACTTTGTGCCTTTGGACAGTTCTAACTATTGCAAAGTTCTTCCCTATACTGAACCAAAAGGCTGACCCAATTCTCTGAATGAAGGAAGAGTCAAGCAGAAACAGAGCCACAGAAGAGCAGAGTGGGGAAATGGGCCAAATAAACCTAGTCTTGACAAGGCCACGGGTTATCCTCTTCCACGTCCGCTTCCCAGCTGGGGCCGCCAGGCACTTCCTGCACAGCACAGGGTCACTGACAAGGCGTTTCCAGTTTCTGCTCGCCAGGATCAGCGCTTTCCAGGGTTCAGCAGCCACAGTGGTGGTGAGTGGGTGGGGTCTTGGGATAGATCATGGAAGATACAGAGAAGGACTCGCTCTCTCTGCACCCTGCTGGGCAGGTCTCTGTGCTGCTTGCCCTCTGACCCCACCCCTCGGGCACATCCAGTTATAGTCAGAGGCTCTGCCACCACCTAGAAAGCCTGGGCCTCTCCTTGGTTCCTCTCCTTCCACACAGTGAGCTGGGGCTCAGGTCACTCCAAGACCCACAGTAATTATTTTGGCAGCCCCTCCCTCCATCAAACTTTTACCTGATCACTGCCCTCCTTCATAACTGACACTGGCTCCATCTTCAGCTCAGAATCCTGTAACCCCAATATCCCCAGCATTCCCAGCAAGAGGAGAAGGTGCTCCCCGTTCTCCAGGAGAACGCCCATCCTTCCCCATGGGCATCACTTCTAACGCCCAGAGCCTGGCTCTCCCAGCCAGGGCCAACTTCTAGTGACTGCCCTAATTTCCTCTGGGAAATCACATCTCCCCAACTCTTGGGTCCAAGTGCCTTGGATGGAGAAGCTGGCCTCACACCCTGGCTCAGACTCCCTAGCCACCGGAATAGGGTGTCCCAAGCTGATCCAAGAGAGCCAATCCTGGGACATTTGCTGGAAGTACTGGGAAGGCTAACAGTTTCTGCTGGTGTTGCAAAGCCAGTTCGAACATAAACTTAGAGCTTCTAGTAAACACCTTTTTTGTTATATGAGGAGAGCCTGGGTGAGAATCAACCCTGCCTGGGAGCAGCCCCACTTCTGGCTATAGTGTATATCCAAAAGGACTGCAAGCAGGATCTCAAAGAGCTATCTACACTCCCACGTCCACTGCAGCATTGTTCACAATAGTCAAGATGCAGAAACAATCCAAATGCCCGTTGACAGATGAATGGATAAAGAAAATGTGGTATATACATACAATGGAATATTATCCAGCCTTAAAGAAGTTAGTCTTATCATTTGCAACAATAGGTTTGAACCTGGATGACAGTATGCTAAGTGAAATGAGCCAGTCACAGAAGGCCAAATACTGCCTGATTCCTCTTATACAAGGTGCCTAAAGTAGTCAAGCTCATCGAGGCAGAGAGGGGAATGGTGGTTACCAGGGGCTGGGGGGAAGGGGAAATGGGGAGTTTGTGCTTAATGGGTATAAAGTTTCAGTTATGCAAGATGAGTACGTTCTAGAGATCTGCTTTCAATACTGTACCTATAGCTAAGGATGCAGTAACGTGCACTTTAAAATGGAGTAAGGAGGGAATCTTGTGTTCAGTGTTCTTAGAAAAAAAAAGGAGAGAGAGAAAGAGGGAGGGAGGGAGGGAGGGAGGGAGGGAGGAAGGGAGGAAGAAAGAAAGGAAGGAAGAGAGGAAAGGAAAAAGAAAAAAGTCACAAAAGAGCACAAGGAACTTTTTGGAGGTGAAGGATGCCAAGGCCACCATCCAGGGTCCACTCTAGGGACATTTCTGTCCAAATGTGGTTCACTCTGCCCCTTTAAACATTGCCAGACACATTAAGACTTCCCACAGACAGAAGTGTCCACCCAACTCTGGTGAGCCCGCTGGCTAAACCCTTGACCCAGAGCCTGACCTGCCCTTGACCATCACTTCCCCCACCAACTGCCCCAGCTGGGTCTCCTGACTGGTTTCAAAAAGCCACATCCTGTGTTCAAACACTGAAGTCTGGAAAAAGACAGCTCTTTCCACAGAAGGTGATTTCAGCTGTCAAACCAACACTTCCTGGCTGCTTTATTTCCCTTTCACATCCCTCCCAGATATCTAACTTTACAAGGTGTGTTCCCAACGATTTCTACAGGGAGTTCTCTAATTCACCCCAGGCTGAGGGATGGCAGAGCACGTCTTTCTTTGCGTCTGTTTCAGCGCCGTTGTTTTACAAGTACGGTCACGTGTCACCATTTCAGGAGACACGAGATAAGCACAATGTAGGCTCTGTCCTCACACCTTAATCCTTTATCTTCTCCCTCCTTTTCATGTATCATCGATAACCAACACTGAGAAAATGACTATTATCGTTCAGAAACAGTGGTACTGCTGTCACTTTTGACAACATCTGATTCAGTCTTATCATAGGTGTTATGGACTGGACTGTGTCCCCCCTAAATTGATATCTTGAAATCCTAGCCCCCCAGAACCTCAGAATGTGACTGTATTTGGACACAGGGCCTTTAAGGAGGTGAATAAAGTCATATAAAGTCAAAAGAGTATGGCCCTAATCCAGTAGGTCTGGTGTCCCTATAAGAAGAAAGAGGGAGTGGGACTTCCCTGGTGGAGCAGTGGTTAAGAATCAGCCTGCCAATGCAGGGGACACAGGTTCGAGCCCTTGTCCAGGAAGATCCCGCATGCCGTGAAGCAACTAAGCCTGTGCGCCACAACTACCGAGCCTGCGCTCTACAACCTGCGAGCCACAACTACTGAGCCCATGCACCTAGACCCTGTGCTCCGCAGCAAGAGAAGCCACTGCAATGAGAAGCCTGCGTACCACAACGAAGAGCTGCCCCTGCTCGCCGCAACTAGAGAAAGCCCGCACGCAGCAACGAAGACCCAACGCAGCCAAAAATAAATAAATAAAGAGGGAGAGACACCACAGATGTGTGGACACAGAGGAAAGTCCATGTGAGCACAGAGTGAGAAGGCGGCCGTCTACAGGCCTGGGAGAGAGGTCTCACCAGAAACCAAACCTGTCAACACCTTGATCTTGGACTTTCAGCCTCCAAAACTGCGAGAAAATAAATGTCAGTTGTTTAAGCCACTCAGTCTGTGGTATTTTGTTATGGCAGCCCTAGCAGACTACTACAATGAGCAAAGCACTGCCTCATTTGCTCACCAGGCTTCTGCTGAATGCCTACTGCATGCCAAGCACTGAGTAAGGCTCTGCAGGCAGACACAGAAGTGGATGAGAATCCAGTAGCTCTCAGTGTGGCAGGAAGAACACCACTGCACAAACAGACCTATCATAAAGTGGAATACAAGTATTACGGTATAAGTCAGCTCTACTATAACACTTGTTTTGAAAACGCAAATCTGTTCCAATGCCATTGATCCATTGGGGGACAATCTGAGCAGAATGTGAATTTTGTGTTTGCTTATGCATGATTTCATCTGCAAGACATACTAGATGTAGACAGAAGACTGCAAGCAGCTGAACCCAGCCACATAGGAATTCACAAAGTGCACACACTCAGGCACACAGCAGCCACCTCAATTTACCGTGTGTGTTATGAGCCATAGCCTGTCCAACATCTGGTGTTACAGTTTTTGATTTCTGCCTGATTTCACATGACTCTCCTTACACCATTTCACAGGAACACCCAAGTGACAGCCCTTCTGAGGCTCACTTCCGTAAGTAAACTTCAAGTCAGTTTCAAGGTCAAGTGCCATATTTATGGTAATATTTATAAATCTCTTAACCATCGAATGTGTCAAGTCGTGCTCCCATTTTTATCAGGTTCCTCGTTTTGTTCTTACCTGTCACTGACAAATTTTTGAGTGTTGTGTTCCTAGCCCACTTTCTCCCACTAAGCCCTGTGGGTTTTGTTTCATGATTCTGTTTACTGCAGTGATTTTTATGACATGCATTTTGGGCTAGAGCAGAGCTGACTGTATTTAAACGTCTCAATGAGAAATTTCATTTCTGGTAAGTAAGGTCTGGGAAATCAGTGCCTATAATCAGGTTCACAAATAATCATGCACTTGAGGCATAACCCTCATTTCAGAGCATGTGGTTGGGACTAATGTGTCAAGAGTGCTTCCTAGGGGCGACATGCCCTAATTGCAGGTAAAATATAGGAAAAAAATGATGTATTCGAAATGAAGTTTTAAAACATTACAGGATGAATGAAGCTATTACACAAGCGAAGTCAAATACATCCCTCACCTGTAGGCAATTTTTTTTCTGACCTCCAGCTTCCTGATATGTTTAATGAAAGAAATTTTTCTCCAGGGAAAAGTCTTGAGAGAGAGAGAGACAGAGAGAGCTACACTGACCTGTCATTGAGTTTTCTGAGGTGCACAGCTGCTCTCTCAGCTTCTCCACATCGTCAGGATGCACCTGTTCATAGAGGGTGCTCCCAAACCACTCTGACTGGGGCTGGTTCAGCACGGGGGTAACGGAGTCTGACACGTAGATCACTCTCCCCGTCTCAGCCGCCACTACAAACAGAAACCCATCAGCGGCTTCAAGGATGAGATGCTTCAGCTCCTGGGAAGAGAAAGCCGCGATTAGGGCCAAGCATGGGCAAGCCCAGGCCAGTTAAACAGTCTTATCAGCAACCTTCAACTCTTACTCAGAAATTCATTGTGATACACAAACAGCAACCTTCAACACGTACTCAGAAATTCATTGTGATACACAAACAGCTTGGGGGCTTTCGTTTGTTTGTTTTGGGAAGATGAGCTGTAAAAATGCACGAAGCTTATACTAGCCCTAAGATACAGCTACTCCAAACACTGTTAACCCTGTCTTAACCAGCCCTTTCTTAGGGAGAGAGGAAATTTCCAGCCCAGGGGAATGAGAGAGCAAGAAGTGATCACCAGGGAGGTGTTGGGTTGTCAGAGGTGTGATATGGCCTCACCTACATATTCAAACTGCAGTCATGTCATTGGAGCAGAAGGGCCCGGTACGCACGGGGCTCATGGAAGGGAGGGAGGGACCATGGGAAAGTGGGAGGAGAGAAGGAAAGGCACCAGGTGTCTCCCCAGCCACCACCTGCCACACTCAGAGTGCACTCATTCTTCTTCTCTTCCTTCCTTTCTGAGCTGAATGCTGGCGGCAGATGTAAGAGTATCACCTTACATCTGCATGTCTGTCAAACTTGCACGACTCCTTGACAGCCAACATCTCAACAGACTCTCAGAGTAATCCCAGAAGGTGGCGGGGCACCTAGCATTGTCCATGTCACTTTACGGTGAGAAGAGAGGCTGACTGCACCAGCCCTGGAGTCACACTCACAGAGCTCATGACTGTCAGTGAAGGCAGGAAGGAAGCTGCTTGGGATCAATGAATGGGCGGCAGGAAGCCTGGCCATCATCCCGAGAGGGACATAGAGGGGGCAAAGTCAACTCTGTTATAAAGTCTTCTCTTTGCAGGGCCTGCAGGCAGCTCAGGTGTGGCTACCTACCCTGTCATTCTCCCATCAAGCTCAGGAGCCCTTTCCTGCTGAATGAAAGGGGCTCCGTTCCTGCAGGAGTTGGGGGGCTATCTCTTCCCCGTGTGCTGGGGTCCACAGCCGCCTCTCTAACAACCTCACACACTGCTCAGGGCCCAAAGAACAAAGGGATCCTTCCAGTCAGTGGTTGGCAAGCACTTTTTGCTGGGAATCCTTTGTTCACGTGTAATCTTAGGTGGAAGCCCCTCTGTAACAACAGAGTAAGGGCCATCTGCATGGAGGCAAAAGACGTGGAGTCTAGAGCATCTGACCCCACCCTCAGTGCCCGTCCCGAGGGGGCTCCAAAAGCCCGAAAATTAGAAAATGTGAGTCTGCTGGGGAGCAGAAACTGGGGTGATTTGCCATTGTCTCTGAGCCCTTGGCTGAGTCAGAACTGTAACATCCTCTGTCTGGGAATCTAGGGTGGAAGCAGGCTGTACAAGCATTTTTTTAAGGAAAAGTTTATTTTGTCCATTTCTCTTGCTTGGCACTTCTGCTGTTCCATGTCTCTTAGATGCTTACTCAGTTCAGAAGATTGGGTCAGCCGTTTTACTTTCAGTATGGAGAAGATCTTGCCAACAGGAAGGACTGTAAAAAATGAAACAGGTTGTCTGGGAAAGTAGAGAATTCTCTGTCTTTGGAGGAGAGGAAGTGGACGCTGATGCCTCCATGTAGGTTTTCACAGTTTCAGCCCTTTTGCAAGGACTGTGGGAAGGGCTTATGGAACAGGGCCTCACCCTCATCACGGGCCCCTCCTTCTACGCCCTCCTCCCCGGTTTTTGTCTTCTGGGAGCACGTCACTCATCACCAAGGTCCTGTGCCCTGAATCCAGAATGAGCCTTGCCTGTATTCTCCAGTTAAGCCAACAGTTAGGTCTAAAGGCACGGACTGTGGCATAAAAGGAGACCATCAACTGTGGCCCTTCCACTTCACCGTGCAAGTCTGGGCTCCCTACTGAGCATCTTCGGCTTCCGTTTTTTCACACGTTTTTTTCAGTGAGATTCTGTGAGGTTCAGTGAGATCTTACATGTGAAGGACTTAGTAAAGGCTTGGCACACAGTAGGCGCTTAACACACGTAGCTGTTGTTGTCATCAACAGCCTACCTGGGAACCGAGAGAGAAAGATGGGGAGGACTCATGGAACTTGCATCACTGCCTTCTCTCTTCTCTTCACTTTCTTAACCCTCAGTCACTTACAGGTAAAGAGATTAATGTCAAATATGGACCCTGGCAGGTCCACGTAAGGATTAAAGAAATGCAGAGAAAAAGCTTTTCACGATCCTAGTGGTCAGGAGGTGCATAATGCATTTCTGTCTGCTCACCTGCCAGCTCTCCATCCTTCATTCCACTGCGGCCCCGTGTTAAACATTGTCCTCTGCTGCCTCCCTGACCTGTCTCCACGACCCTTCCAGGTGGGAGCCATCACTGCGGTCCTTTTACAGAGGTGGAAAGAGGCTGGGCCCTGTGTCCTGGACCACCGGGCCCCGTGGCCTCCCAGCGAGGGTCACTCCGCTGCCACACCTCCTCACACCTCGAGGTGAGGAACACGTGGGCCCTGGGGTGACCCAAGCCCTTGCTAAAATGCCTGCCACACAGGAATACACGTTAGCTCCTCTCCCTTTGCTCTTTTTCTAAACCTAAGTCCTGTGACATGAACAGATTCTTCACACTGGCAGAATAAACGATTCTGTCTCTGGACACGCCTTCCTCACCTGTTCCTCCAAGGCTCTGCGCTCACTGGTCGGCTCGTGTCGAATCCCTTCCTCTCCCGTTTCTGTGCATCTTCTGGGGCTCCTTCACAGCCTGCCAGGGCCAGCTCTCTCCCGAGAAGCCCCCGACGAGACCTAGCACTTCCTACCTGCATCCCCGACAGCACATCACTTCCCTTTCCCCTGCCTGCACCATATACAAAGTGCTCTCAAGTCTATCATCTCCTTTATCCTGCAGTACCCCTCAGAGTCAGGAAGGCAGAGAGCTCATGTTCATCCACAGATGAGCAAACAGAAGCTGAGGGCATCTGACGATCTGCGCTACTACTGACCAGCATGGAGAAGAACCATGACCCAGAACACAGGCCTTCCAGCGCAGGCAACGGTCAAGTTACAAAATACTTCCCACTGACCATTTCCTGGGTTTGCTCTTCCCAACTATGCAGCTCCTGGTACAGCTGTGAAATACATGGTTTTGGGGTCTGACCAACCCGGGTCAACTCCTGGCCCCGCCACTGAGCAGGGGACTGACGCTCTCTAAGCCTCCACTTGCTCATTTCTAAAGCAGGGATGAATTACAGAGGCTTCCTCCTCGGGCTAGAATAAGGATTGAATGAAATCCTGCACAGAAAGATCTGACTTTGACCCCGGCTCAGGGCAGAGGCCTAAGTGCTGGCTGTTAGGATCCTTGCCACTATGATTGTTGTGACAGCTGCCAAAACTTTGATCACCATCATGATCACCGCCGCTATTCTACCACAGAAGAACTGTGGAACTGTGGTTTTGCTTGGCTTTTTCCTATATTAGCATGCTAAGCACAATGTCTTTTTTTTGAGTGATGCCTTGTTAAGGTACATGGGAAATTTAACAAGCAGAGGACGCAAAATCAGACAAACACCCCTGGAAGAGCGTTTCCTAGTGAAGAATGGAAATAAAATTCCCTGGTTTCGTCCCTACCTCAGCCTTTAACCCTGTTTCCCCACGTAGCTTATTTCATCTTGGCGATGCTGTCAATCATTCTCTCCCCTTCCAATGATGCCATTACCGGGGAAGAAAAGCACGCAGGCGAGGGACGAACGGGGTACCTGCTCCGTCAGGAACGAAGGCTTGTAGGCGCCGTCTGTGGACTTGTTCCCTGTGCCCCGCATGGACTTCATGTGCGAGACGGCCATGCGCAGGATGGTGAGCTTGTCTGGCTTCCGGGCCAGCGCGCTGCACGTGGGGACCATGTCAGAGAGCTCGGTGATGTACTGGGTCATCTTGTTCCGCCGCCTCCTTTCAATCTCACTGTGGTTCTCTCTTCCCGAAAGCACGAGATCAGGGGAGGCGGAAAGAGAAGGATTAGACTGGGGGTTACTGTCTGACGGTGTAAACCGGCACGTACATCGTTAACGCCCAGTAACCAAAAGACTAGCTCGTAATGGCTAATTCAGTGGCTTTGAACGCATCTTGGGCAGAGCAGCTCCCCGACACATTAGCAAGTTTCTTTCTCGGGGGGTGGGGTGGGGACAGGCTTCTACAGATGCCTCAGACTCACCTCTAAATATGTACTCAAAGCTTTCCACTGCTCCCATGTACCTAAGTACTTTTTAATAAGCATAAAGAATGAAGACATTATCCTTCAGGCATCAAAGTGAACTCAACATGCTTTCCACGGGCACCCACGGATCTGTACATGCTACGTGTGCGCACACACACACGTGCACACACACTGAATGTAGTTACCATCTGCTCAAATACGTGGTTTACTTTGACCCGCAGTGAGAAACATGTCTAGCCTTGCCCTTCTTGGTGTCACTGAACAGCCACGCCACAGACCTACGTCACGTCACATGAGTTGTGAACAAGCTTTGCAGTGTGTGCCGCACGTTCTCTGCAGCTTAGTAACAGAACAGGTGCACTCCGCTCGCTCAACAACGGAGAGCCGATTAAAAAGCCCAGCACTGCCAGGAATTCTGAGAGCAACCCTCGCTGACGTGTTAAGATGCTAAACTAGCAAAAGGGATGATAGAATGTTTCTGTCTCGAGATTATCACCTCTAGGCTTGAAAGGGAGTGACAGCCAACCCAGTTCAACGACACTGAGACAAAGCTGTCCCGTTGGATAAAAGAAATGTCTAAAAGTACATCACACGTCCGTTGTAGGATTTAGGGTTTCACAGGTGCTCAGAGTATGAGGGTGACACTAAGCAAGAAAGGAAGCACCCCAGGCAAGGCTGCCTCACACACTGCATGTATCCATGGGGCTTCGCACCCCACCCTCCCAGGCTGGGAGCAGACGCCAGGCAGGCCTGATCACAGGCAGGGGTCACGTGAACACGCGAACAAACCAAGGGGGACGAGCTAAGCCGGGCGGCCCGGTGAGCACCTTCTATACAAAAAGCACTGAGCCGGGCGCACAAGGGGGAGGGGACGAGGGAACCAGGGAATGCCCCGCTCCTATCCTAAAGCAGCTAAGTACCAGTTAGGATGGTAAAACATCAACTTGCATAGTAGACATGAAGGCAGGATGTGATTAAATGCTCCCAGAGGCACATGGAAAGTAAAGACCCCAGGAGAGAATAAGAGAGGAGAGGGGGAGGTGCTCCTGGAAGGGCTGGGGGAGGAGCTGGGAGGGAGCAGGTAAAGGGGGCATATTCTGGGGGGAGAATCAGCAGGATCAAAGAAAGGGCTGGAATTGGGATGCAGCCTCTGTGGGCAGGAGCAGACAGGCCTGGGTGCAGGGGCGGTCCTGGGGCTTGGAGGAGAGGGCCGAGCAACGAGGAGCGTGAGAAGCTGGGCTGGTAACAGGGCCTGGGTCTCCCACGCCCCTCAGCTGGCTGCTGGGGAGAGGTTCGGAGGTGGGTGAGTCCTGCGGGGAGGCAGAAGGAGAGGGCAGCTGAGGCCAGCAAGGGGACTCCTGGGGCAAGGTCTCCCCTCCTGCCCATAGTGAGGGCCCTTGGCAGCAGACTAGGGAGCACAGGAAACAGCCGGAGGCAGCCCAAGCACCCCTGCTGCACGGGGCAAGCGAGGATGCCCGCTGTTCAGGAGAAACGGCTCTCGGCTCTCAGGTTCCTGGGCAGGGGCTTGTATACTGTGGAGAGAGTAAAGACAACCAAGCAGAGGGGGTCCATCACAGAGACGGGGCAGTGGGGAGAAGGGGGCAATTGGTCAGGGGACTCCTGTGTGCCCCAGTCTTCATCACCATCACCCACTTGTGCCCTCCACACACACCTGTCACAGGTGGCCTGGAGCCGCTGGCCCACTGTGCACTGTGCATCGGGAGGGCCTGGGTGAGCTCGCTCGGGGGCGTGCTCTCCCCCCTGCCAGCCTGCACCTCGCCGCGGCGGACAGGAGCGGAGATGGTGTGCAGAGAACGCTGCCGGGGACTGCTGGAGGGTGTGTCGGACAGAAACTCTGGCCACGCAGGAACAGTACATTACGATGCGGGATGCACATCCCTGCCGGGGGGCCCTGGACGTGCTTCCCCGTATCTCCTGCTCAGAGACACTCCCGAACCCTAACTTGCTCCTACGGCTTGCCGTCTAAGTTCCACCTCCTCAGCTTGATTGTTAGGACCCCCCCTGCACCCCAAGTCGGGGCCCACCCACTTTTCCGTCCTGTGTTCCAGCAGGCGCTCAGCTCCTTCACTCGCCTCACAGCACAGGAATGCGCTGTCCCCTCCTCCTCACCTTCAGGGCAGCCCACAGTGAAGTGCTTCTTCCCCTCACACTCAGTCTGCATCAGATCTTTTCTAAATACCTCCCGGTTCTCTTCGACCTTCTCCCGGCCCACGCCCACCGGCTGGCACCACTTCTCACCCTCTCACCTCGGTGCCACCAGCTTCCGCAGTCTGGTCACCTCTTTCATCTCATCGCCCTCAGTTCAGTCTGCGTGCTGTGACTGGGCGGATATTTCTAAAGAAGCAAACCCAGCTCTTCCCTTTCCAGCCCTTCAGTGATGCCCCAAACCCACAGGGCCAAGTCCAAGCCCCTGGCTAGTTACCACAGCAACCGCGCCAAGACTGGACCAGGGCACGCCTGCTTCTGATCCTATTTCCAAAAGAGCCACAGACCATGTCGCCTTGTAAACATCTGGGGGGAAGAGTCTTTGTGAAGTTCTTAAACATGGATCTAAAGCAATTTCATCACTGCACTGGATAAACCCAACTCATGAGATCAGGTGCTTGATGGAGACGCGAGGGCAACTGTTTATTGACTGACCAGTGCAGAAAATGCTCCAATCGTTTCACGAAATAAGACTGAGTTACCAACAGAAGGTCAAAATGACGAAGAGCTGCCAGTTACCTAGCAACAAGATAAATGAGTGTAGCTACTGAATCTATTAAAATATGTATATGTCTATTCATATACATGTATGTATATATAGGTCCGTTTTGAAAGATCACGGAGGCAAGAAACAGGAAAAACACCCTCTTGGGAAAACAGAAGGAAGTGTCCCCAGGACCCAGGCCACCTCCTTCACAGGGTGCGGGCCGATGCGGGGTCTGCTTGGAGGAGCTGCAGGGGCAGCCTGTGCCCTTGGCATCTGAGTTTCGTGTGCCCCACGTGCAGCATCAATAAAGCAATGAGCCCCTCTGTACGTGGGCGCGGGGCAAGGGCTCTGCAGCAGTGACAGCTAAGGATGCAGGCACAGCCGTCGGCTATAACACCTCTGCTGGGACAAGAGGGCCCCCAGCCTGGCCCAGGAACACGGTTGCAGAAACTAAGGACAAGAAAGAGGAAGTGCAGCTGCACACTGCCTTGGGTTTCACTTCCAACTCGGCTCCCAAGGCTGACCTCCTAAGGGTAATCGGAGCAGTGAGATACACGTCCATCCTGATTAAATACAAAATAGGGGTGTGCTTTGGAAATCTCAATAAAGATCTTCCTTCAGCTCCGCGGATGGCAGCTGAGTCTCCCATCTCTGGTGGGAAGGGAACGACAGACCTGCACAGGCAGACGGACAGGACAGCTCCACGCCGGGGCCAGGTCTCCCGGCCACCACAGACCCGAGACACCTGGGGCACCTCAGGTCTGAGCGCTGGGGACGGGCAGGCAGGACAGACGCTGACAGACCAGCAGAGGCAACAGAGGGTGGGCAGGCAAGGACACAGCCCCTGTGCACAGCGAGTCCCCCACATACAAACCTTCAAGTTTCGAACTTTCAAAGACGCGAACGTGCATCTGATTCCAGCAAGGAACCAGAACCTGTGCCATCCACGTCAGGCGTGAGTGACATCGCAGCTCGCCCTCCGTCTCCCGTTGCTGACGATCCTTCAGCTCTAGCATCTCCCACCTCCTCTCCCTCCTCCAGTCAGTAGCTCTTCTTGCCTGTTCACTCGATGCCAGCCCCTGGATGCCAGCTCTTGTACTTTGCTACTGCACTTTTCAAGGTACTGTACTGAAAGAGTCAAAATGTTTTCTTTATTTTTTGTGTTTGTCTTTTATGTATTATTTGTGTGATAAGTATTATAAACCTATTCCAGTACAGTACTAGAGAGCCGACTGTGTTAGTTGGGGACCTAGGCTAACTCTGCTGGACTTACGAACAAACAGGACTTACAACAAAAGTCCCGAGAAATCTCCAGGAACCCGAGGGCCCCAAGACCCTGCGTGCCCCTTAGGCAGGCCTGGCTGAGAGGAGCGTGTGGTAAACCTAAGTCCTCCAGCTGCCTCTCTTTGCTCTTGTCACCAGCTGTGAGCCCTGGGGGTGGCAGACAGCCTGACACCATCAGGGACACGACCAGCTGCCTCTCGGCCTGGTCACCCACACGGTCAGGTCCCAAACCTGAGAAGTCAGTGCTGACACCCAACCCCTGCCATTGCCAGCTTAGTAGCTCCACAGGTGACAGGGCTGTTGGTAGAGCAGCCCTGCTCCAGGTGGGACCAGGGCCACGTTCCTCTATGACACCTCAGCTCCCACCGCCACCTCCTGACACACGCGCTGCTCTCCAGGCCACCATGGTCTCAACAACAGACCAGCAGGAAACAAGCAAAACGCCTCTTCTGTCCACTTGGATACACACGGCCAAGCAGCAGGAAAGGTCTGATTCGGTAAAGGTCCTCAGCACTTCTCATGTAAAAGAAGCATCCATCCCCTCCAGCCAGGGGGGAGTCAGACTGTGGGAGGAGACCCTTTGCAGAGGTGCAGACCATCTGTCCTTCAGGACTGGGATGGGGAACCATCCTGACCAAGGGGGGAGGATTTGGGGGGGGGTTCCAGATTTTGGGGGGTTTCCACACGAGTCCTTGCCGGCTGGCAGCAGCCTCAGGCTCAGACTGGCCCTGGCTCCTCCTCCCTGACACCAGGAGGGAGACT